GAGAGAGAGAGAGGGGCTGGTGGTTACCCACCTGGCATCTTTACGAGCTGACGCCGCGCTCCTCCTGCTTCTTCGGCTCCTTCACGATGACTGTTGTGGCCTGGCTATGGCTGGACGACGACGCCTTCGACTGCTGCTGCTGCACAGGAGACGTGGAGGCAACCATGCGATGGGCAATGCACGGCGGGCGCGAAGGGCACAAAGCTGGACTACCGGGGTTCATCCAGGCAGCGAGGGGCAGCATTCCGAATTCAAAACTTCAAAAACAAACTAACTTCAGCTGCCCCCCGTTTTTTTTTTTCGAGGCCCCGCGTGGCCTCAAATTGTTTTTTTTTTTTTTTGTGGTTCGTGACGCGACATCCCACCCGGGCCTAGAACACCCCTCGGCAACTTTTTCTTTTTTTCGTCGACACCTTATTTTTGGGGTGCGCCGCACCCCGTGCGCGAGCATGTCGATGCGCCGCAATTCTGCTATAGATTTTATACTCTACCATTTTGCCGCGAGTTTGTTTACCCATGTTTTGAGGAAATATTCCCCTTCCCCCTCTCTCCCCCCCCCCCCCCCCCCCCCCCCCCCCCCCCCCCCCCCCCCCACCCAATTCTGCACAAAGTTTGAATTCTGTGGTGGACCACCCTATGCTGCTGGCAAGTGTTCTGCATGGAGTAGAGTGACCTCGAATACACGCTGTCTGTTATACTCCCGGGTGATCTTTTTCTTTGCCTATTTTTGAACAATTATGTCAAGCAGAGAGTGTGACTGTGGCTATGCCACTGGGGAAAAACAGTGGGAGGGGGAGAAAGAGGTGGAGAAAGGGGCGGGGAGGGGGGTGATGGACAGCTTAGTGCTCTGTCTGTTGTGGCTCTCATCAGGATACAAACTCCTAAACTCACAAGCTTCTTGTGAACAGCCACATGTGCTGTCCTGGTGTGAACTCGTGACCTGCTTGTCAACACCTACATGTATGTGATGCACCATCATTTAGAATCCGACACGTTTTTTTTTCCGATTTTGGTATGACGTGGGCGCATACAGCTTATGATGTCCAATCAGTCTGTCGGTTGAGCGGTCTTTCGATTGAATGACGGCACTACAGCTGTGTGTGTGTTAAGTCTGCCACAGCTTGATGCTCTCTGTCATTTGTGTGTTAAGCTGCCGCATCAGTCATCCAGGCATTGAGTGGATATGCTATGTACGCACAACTGTGAGAAATCTGACATAGTGATTTTTTTTTTTTTTTGGGTATGGATCTCTGTGCAGGTTGTGACGCAAGTGGCACCTCTGAGCCAGCAGGTGTGTGAAGATATGTTTGCGGAACACCCTTTTTGCTTCCCTGCCGTGTTGCCCATTTCTTCCTGCTCATAAATGCAGAGGCCTGTCCTTGTCAAGAAGGTTATCCAAAGTGCACATCAACAATTCAAGAAAGGATTGCTTTTGTAGCATCTGATGTCGCCACGTGCCCCATTTGTCATTTGCCCCTTCTTCTCCTGTTCCCCCATCCCCCCAGGCCAAGTGTTAGGAAGGTCTTCCAAATCCAGTATTCATGAAGGGATTTCTTTTGTACATCTGTCTTCCCTTTCCACCTTCCCCCCCTCCTTCCCCCTCACCCTTCCCCCCA